CTGAAATCTGGGAGTCCTGTCTAACATACATTCTGGGATGTGTTTGTAATGACCCTGAATATGAAACTACTTACAGTGGGTTTTTTTTTTTTCCTTTCTGTATCTTCACAAGAGATATCTTCATTGGGCAACACAAGTAATGTGTTGTTTCAAGGATGTTAGCCTATCTTAAATATAGCAAACAACTTGGGTTGGGTTTATAAGCCTGGTAGAAGTAGCAGTTTGAGTTATATGCCACTTTGGAGACACCACAGAATTTAAGCAGAATATCACTGAGTATGGAAAAGAGGTTAATATTCCATTTGAGTAGCATTAAGTATGAAAGAAAAGCTTTCTTTGGATAAATAATTTCCTATCCTATAAGGAGGCCAGCAATACCAGTGAGGAAAAAGCTTCCTCTTAAAAGCTCTGGTCTTGTGGTCAGTCTTCTTTCTGAAGTGAAGCTTCAAGTTGCTTTGGCCTTAATGTATTTATTTATTTAATCTTTATTTTGTTGTGTGGTTTGCATCTTCTCTGGTAGAACACCCATTAGTTGCAATAGAAGCTTTGCCAAATGTGTATGGAATTCTGTAGAACCTCTGCAGCATACAATGAAGTGAAGAAACAGGGATATTAAAGTGGCTGGGAAGGAGATCTCCATTGAGAACATTATTTCTGCTTTGGCTTTCAAAATAACATGGATTACTGGAGTGGAAGTGTATGTCCATAGGTAAAGCTGTAGCACGCAGAGGACAGGAAAAATAAGAAAGCAATGGAGAGAAAGCAGGAGAAGAGATAGATAAGAGTATAGAACAGCAGCAAAGGACAGGTGAGTGATTTTTCCATTTCAATTTTTATCCCTTTGTTCCTTTATTTTGACTTTCATGCTTTTCTTGTTTATCTATTGACACAAAATTCATAGTATTAGAAGCAAATTTAAAAAAGAAAGCAAACTGAAATCAACCAAGCAACCAGAAAAAAACCACGAAAAACACTCCCAAACCAAACCCAAACCTTAGACTTTTTAGTCTAGAGTTCCAGGAATTGTCCTGAGTTACTAATATTGAACTCGCATTGATTCTTTCCTTTCTTTCCCTTTTTAACCTTTTCTGGTAAAATGCATAACAGAAAAACTTCCAAGTTTTAATTTCACTCAGGTAATTAATAATATAGCTGATTTTTTTAAAACTTTCCTGAAAGCCAGTTAATTGCAACTGATTCTTAATGACCTATATAGGAGTTAAAAACACAGGAGGAGGCTTAGTCTAGTGAGTTCTCAAAGTGGACTTATGTTTTAGAGTTGTGGTGAAACACAATATGTGTATATATGTACATACATACATATATGTAGTGGCTAGTGCTTTTAAACAACAGGGTTGACAGCAAAATAATCTCAAATGGATTTAAAGTATAGTGTTTCCTATACATAAAGCTGCTAGTGCCACCTGTACTTAAGATTGCGTGACCCTTTCATTTTAAAGTTTAACTCTTAGTTACTTTATAACTTTTGCCAAAGTTCAGTTCAGACAGATTTTTTCCATGCCAGATGTCTGCTTTGGGTTGAATTTTTTTGAAAGTTTCAGCCAAAGCAGTTCTGTTCCAAGAATAAGGCGAGTGAAAAGTATGCTATTTTGCTTGTGTGAGAATATTCTGGTGTCGTCCTTTGATGCTCCAGTGCCCCCAAGCTCTGCAGCAAGGATTTGAAATTTGGCAATAGTTCAGCCTTTGTGTTGAGGATGTGCCTTTTGCCTCCCTGTAAAAATCCACCCAAATTTCCAGACCGGTTTACAAGGCTTTGAAAGATTGCCATTTGCTTGGGCTTAATAGGAATTTCTTAAAACTTCACAGTAAGTTTCCTTTAGATTCTGTTCACACTGGGAATGCTCCAGGCAGAGTAGAGCTGCATATTTCATCCCACTTCTGCTAGGAGTTGTAACGGCTGCATCTGGGTGCTGACATTGAACTAAGAGCGGGCAGTGTTTTGTCTTGTACCACCACCGCCTGTTCCCATGTCCTGTTCTCTCTCCACGGTGAAGGACCTGGGCCCTCTGGAAAAAGAAACTGTCTCGCTCATCTGAAAGAGCATGACAGATATGATGAGAAGAATTCAGGAGTGTGTGTGTGTCTAGTTTATACCATTCCTTTGGTCGGGGAAAATGTGTGTATCGTACTGGCAAAATATTACTTTCTTTTCTAGTGGATGTTCAGATAATAATCCTTAGGTTTTATTGTATTTACGCTTCAGTAGCTGAGTAGGTCTCAAAGTTTTAATTGTTTCACTGACCTATGTAAGCATCAATTAAAAAAAAAGTTAGCCTCGGAAAAAATCACAGTATAGTCATGTTCCTTAGAGGACAAAAATCAAGAGCTCACTTTTTTCAAACATTTAAGTCTTAACTCAGACCTTTTGCACTTAAGTGTACATGTGTATTAATGTATTAAGTACAGACTCCAGCTTCATCACAAGTGTTGTGTGCATTGTCCAAGAGGCAACCATTTGATTGGAAAGGGGATGAGTCCAGGATTTGTAGAGTAAAGGATGTGTATTCATGTGTTCCAGCAGCTGAAACATGTGGAGTAAGTGAAGCAGAGATTTCAGGAATAAAAAAAAGCTTTGTGGCTGAGAGAATTGAATGCTACTTGATGAATTGTGTGCAATCTGTGCTTAGTCATGGTGTTTTTACGTGATGCACTCAAATAACTGTTCCTAGGTGGCTGCTCATACTGTGTGTTCTAGTGGCTGGTTTGAGAACTTTTTTTGCAGAAATGCAGATGCTTGTAACTGCAAGTGAAGTTGGTGGGAGCTAAACCTCCTGTAAAATACTGTATATTACTAAGGACAGTAAAACTCAGGTTCAAAGTATGTGAAATTTGACATCTGGAACTAGGGAATATTTTAGTCTAATTAACCTAATGCCTCAGTTGCCTGTTTTACAGATGTAGAAATTACTTGTCCTGTCTCTGTAGAAAGGCTCATGAGGAAATTGGTTGCATTTGTAGCATGACTGAAAAATGAATATGCTATAAATAAAGCATATGACCACCTCCCATTGATCAGGGGTGAAACAAAGCATTGAAAAATATGCAGTCAGAAGTTTACTTCTGTAAACATTAGTAAAAACTCCCTTTGTAACTCTTAACTTTCCGATGCTTACCTTTTTGACCCTAATAATTCTTTTAAAATAAAAGATGTGATTTTTTTTTCTCCGGGCATTTAAAAGCATCCAACTTTCTTTTGTCCAACTGTACCAATCCCTTGGTAGCTCTCTTGGTTCTGGAGGTGGAGTTGTTATTTCACTCTTTGCAATTTCTTTACCAATAAAGCATGCAAACCTGAACCAGATTGGATCTGGCTGCAACCAATGATGTCAACCTATAAAAAGTGGTACTTTTTAAAAAATGTATTAACTAATCCGTTTCATACTGATCCAAGCATAAACCCCCCAATATCAGAGCTCTGGGACTTAAATTTTCCACTTTGAATCAACAGTCAAAATTTGTAAACTCTGAGAATAATATTAAAATGCAAATCTAATTAGCAATAACTTTTTCATTCTCTTCTAAATCATAGCAGCTTTATCATACTATTGGTTGAATAAAATATTACTCTTATCCCCATCAGTTCTGATCACTGTGGAGATGGAAAATTTATTTGCTCAAACCATTGACTTCTACCTCACAGTGATAAATTCCCCCTTGGTAAAGCTGCTTCAACAGTACCTCATTTTTATCACTGTAAAGCCAACTGTTACCTGAAGTTTCCTATGCAAAAAATGATTTTTGTATGGTTTTTTGAATGGGACAGAGTTACAACAAATAAGGGAATGTGCATTTGTGGAAGTGTCTAGCTCCTGGAGTGAAAAGGTTTGCTGCTAAGGTTTAGTGAATTTAATGATTTGGAGGTTATTTGTTGGAGAGGGAGAGCCTGCAGTAGTGGAGAGGTTTGGGTTGTGGGGGGGGAGTTTGGGTTGGGTTTTTTTGTTTGTTTTTTAAGGTGTAAGTTAGAGGGCTTTTTTGTCTCTTTAAACTTAGTCTTCAAACGTTTTTTACTTGTTTCTTGGATCATCTCCTCAGGGTGTTTGCTGCCTCTGAAACTGTAGATCTCATATGGGTCTTTTGAAAGCTTCAGCAAAGACAAGGCATTTGACAGGATGTTTGTCATGCAGTATTTTCAGAAGAAAGATGGGAACTTTGAGCTGCTCAAAGCATAGATCTTCCTTAGAGGAGCTCAGCTGCTAGAAACAGCAGTTTTATTTGCTTAGCCGTGTGAAATCCACTTGCTTATGGACAACTGTTTTGGGTTTTGTTCCCCCCCTGCAAGACTTCCGCTTACTTCTGGGCTCTTCCATATGTGTTTTGAGCTGTGCTTTGAAGTTGGGCAACTAGCTTTAAACAAAAGCTGTTACCACACTTCTGCATAGCATCTAGCTTGATTTCAGCATGCTGATGTGTTAGTGATGTGGTTTAGAGTTAATGAAATGCAATTCTTTGCTTGCTTTGACATTGGTTTCTGTAGGATTAAAATTAAAAAAGAAAACAATCATCATATTACACTTGGTTTGTTGTAGAAAAGCCAAGTCAAAATGGACCTTAGAATGTGATTAAATGGATGTGAAGCTATTTTTCACTGGGCAGGCATCTGTCTTCACACATAGATGAGATGAAGTCTGAGTTACACTGTATTTTTTTACTCTGTCACTCTCCTCTTACTCCCCTCCGGCCCCCCTCATAATCTAAGGCATTTCTGAAAACCCAGTCTTTGTGTAGATTTAGTTTCCTGCGTAAGTCATTCTAAAATATTTTAGTTCAGAGTGCCTAGATAAAGTAATTTAATTTTGAGACACATATTTTCTGTCATCTTTGAGCAGTGTACTTCCATAACAAGATCCAAATAGTACTACTTTGACTGTCTTGAATTTATACTCGTCTGGAAGACTCTGCTCTATTAAACAGGTTTAGTATGTGATCACTTACGTTAACTGTTTCTGAATGTTTTGCTTTTTTTGTCTTGTTTTTGGCAGCAACTTGAATTAGTGGAACCGAGCGGCTGGATTCATGTTCCTTTAACAGACACGCATAAGAAGCCTATTCGCACATTTATGATTCAGATTGCGGTTCTGGCTAATCACCAAAATGGAAGAGACACTCACATGAGACAAATCAAAGTGTACACCCCGGTGGAAGAGAGCTCTATTGGTAAATTTCCTAGATGTACAACAATTGATTTCATGATGTATCGCTCCATAAGATAAAATTTCTTAATGAGAAATAAAGGCATTTTTTGATGGCCGTATCATTGCTTAAGTATCCAAATACTTAGAGCAGGGTTTATTTCGGTGTAATTATATGTTTATGTTTATACTTTGTATGATTTTGAAATAAAGATAATACTGTGCTACAGTATATTGTAGTCTGTAGTTTTTCATTACTTTTGCAGTTTTTGAGTACTCTTATACTATCTGAGAGGGAAAAATCTGGGCACTTTAAAAGAACCTATTTGTGACTAGGAATCAATAACTGATTTGGTTTCTTTTCCTAATGGTCATGCATGGAAATCGCTTGTTCTATAGTGTTACTGTTTATTCCTTTACCTAAAAGCGCTCTTCTTGAACAGACATAGTTTAAAGTCATTGCAAGTAGTATTTTCCCATCATTACTTATGTTAATACATTCTACTAATTTCTGTATAGATTTTTCTGCTTAATGACGAGCTTCATGGATTTAGCCTTCTTCATAACTGCAAAGTAGATCATAGAATCATGGAATATCTCAAGTTGGGAGGGAGCTGTAAGGGTCTTTGAGTCCAATTCCTTGCTCCTCACAGGGCTACCTAAAACTGAATCAGATGACTAAGAGCATCATCCAGATGTTCCTTGATCTCTGATGGGCTTGGTGTCATGACCACTTTCCTGGGGAGGCTATTCCAGTGACCAATAGTGAAATGACAATGACACAAAGAAAAACAAACCTTTCCAAATTACTCAGTGTAGTGTATACATTAATGAAGATACACTGTGTATAGATCATCTAAACATGTTAACTGTTCAAAATGGGAGGAGAGTTAGGAATGCTCCAACTTCATACAATAATGGTGGGAAAGAATCTGAAGGTCTAATGCATCTTCTAAAATATAGAGAATTCAAATATGTTAACACAAGGTAATCTCAATACCATTGAGTTTCTTTAACATGTTTTAAAGTAAAAAAACATTGCAAGGAAACATGCTTAGTCCACTTGCTATAATTAGGGGTATTTAACACTTCTACTAATGTCTCATAATCTAATTACTAGTTATTTCACCTTTTAAAAAATCAAGTAGGTTTTTAGAAAGATGTCATACTACAAGGGTTTCTTTTAAAATGTTCAGTACTGATTAAACACATTCTTCCACCTAGCACTGTAAAAACTGATGGTAAATCCAGACTTATGTCAGTCAAGGAAAACTTCTGACACTCTTCTTAATTATGAGCAAGGAAAGGCTAATAATAGTGGAGGCTCATCAAACAGTGATAAAGCATCCTCCAGAGAAAGAATGTGAAATAAAGGAAAATGGGAACATTGTGAAGGAAGGATAAAGATTCAGCTGTTGAAATCCTTTATATACTTAATGAAGTAAGCTGTTTACTGAACAGTTTTGTCCTCTGGCTGAGTTGCACATCCTTTAGCAGGGTGATTAAAATGGGCCTTTCCTGATAATGAACCTTGCAGAGAAGTCTGTGGCTGGCCTGAGTTCTTTATTTAAATGCAGATTCAATCATTTCAGGAGTACCTTAGTGGTACTTTACCTTTCCCTGTAAAGGATGTATCAACAGCAGAATTCCTGTTCAGCAAAAGCTGGTTGAAGCTTTTCAGAAGCTTTTCACCAAGTCTTGTCTGTTTGGTGGATTTCTTTATATAGTGTCAAGGAGTTGTATATTTCTATTCACTTATTTGAAGAAGAGTTTGTACTTTAGATGTACCATTTCATATTCTTTTGTCAAGAAAAAACCCAAACAAACAACAAAACCCCACCTTGATTTATGCACTTGTTTTGTTGTGAAGTTATTGATAGATTTGTAAGAATGGAGATTTAGGCATGCAATTTTCCTGTTTTTCTCCAAGAAGGTAAGATAGTAATTATCCATTCTAGCTTTCTGTTTTCAAGCCACTGTTCTCTACTTAATGATTCTACCACAGATAATTCTAGTTCTGAACTCTCGTCAGTAACACTTAAAATATTTTGATTCAAAGACGCTTTAAAGTACTTTTTTTTTTCTTATGTGTCATTCTACATTATTTATTACATACTTCAATAATATATGCATTTATTTTCTCATCAGTTCACAAAAGACCAGTACTTGAAATGAATACATTCTGCATGAACCACGTATTTCAAAGCAGCTAATGAAGACAAAGTAGTATTGCTCTATAATGAACATTACCCAGTAGATTAGGAACAGGCTTGTCAGTGCGATCTTGTTCTGCTTGTTTCTGCCCTGCCTCAGTAGGCATCATTTTTGGATCCTTAGAGAGCTATTCCTGCTTTTATTCTTTTTTCAGGGCTCCTGTATCCATGCAGCAGAGGCGCCAGTATTTGTCCCCAAAGTTCAGAATTGTTATTCCTGACAGTGTAATTGAATAAGCTGAAACAGAGTTTGATGTCTTATCAAGAGCAGCAGGATATGATAGCTGCTGTTGAAGTGTTTTAAGAACCTATGATACCCCGTGTTACACTGGATGATGTTAAGCTTTACTACTGGAGAAGAAAACTGCACTTATAAATTAAACTTAATGCAGTCTTTTAGTAGATGCTAAGGTGCACAAGGCTCTTTAAATATTAAGGCTGTAGTTACGCTTTGTTCTTCATTCAACAGCAGATCCTGTCTGAAGCTGCACATTACAGTATTTTGTTTCTATTTTATTACCATCTCCATGGTTGAGCCTCTTCAGATGCTTCCATGGCTGTTAAACAGTTAGATCCTTGGTCCATCCTTGGCCCTTTAAAACAAGTATATTCTTAATATATTGGGTGGAAGCGAATAATCTGTGGTAAGACCGTGGGAGTGAACAGTGAGTCATGATGATGAGGGTGGGAGTAGATTAAAAGGGAGAGTACAACTAGTAATTCCTTCAGCTGCTGCTGACAAAATAATATATGACCGTGCCTGAAAGGCAGTATAAAAATGCAAACTCATTACTACAATCTGTGTCTTGCTCTTTGATATTCAATGTTACTGCAAAACAAGTGCAGTGGCCCCTCTAAATCCATCTTAAATCTCTTCTCTGTTGTTTCATAACAATTGCAGATACATTGCATTGGTATTAAACATCTGTGCAAGTATGTTTGTTTTTTAACATTCTTGGTGCTTAGTCACATAAGGCTGCTGATTTTTAAGTGATGAGATCCTAGAGGACTGTGTCTGAAAATAAAGCAAGTTACTGCCTTTGTGTATTAATATAGTACTTGGTATTTGAATTGGGATAAACAAACTGGTCTGCCAGACCGTTGCAGGAAGTTACTACACATACGTTGTGTTTAGCTGCTACTTTTCTTTTCTTGCTGATTTTTTTCAGACACATAGTTGTCTGGAATCTTATCACTTGAAAGAGCAATTTTATGTGACTAAGCACCAAAATTGTTGAGCATACAGCTTTTTCCAAAGATGGAGTTTGGGAGCAGAAAGTTCATGTAATGTTAATTCGGTTAAAGCTTATATCTTACCTACCAGGTGCTTCCTTGAAAGGTTGTCAACAAGTGCTGTAAATCGCGGTTAACTGCTAATGTGTGCGAGACATCCAAAAGTGCAAACCTAAAAAAAAAAACAACCAGCAAGCAGTGAAAATTCACAAAAATAAGCATTCTTTGACTCGTGTGTGTGTGTGTATAAATATTTATAGTGCCGATGGAATACTAGAGCCATTTTGATGTTTGTGGTGAGTTTGCAGGTTTTTAATAAGAACAGGAATAATGTTTTAGTTCAATATACATCTCATATTCACTCCCCACTCAGTCTGAGAAAGACATTTCCTTTGTGTCCTTTAACGATGTCTATTATTCATGACTATTTTGTTTTATTTGTCCCTTCATGCACGCTTTGGCTGCTGTTTGGAGGGAGACAGGTCCTGGCAATGTGTAGTCTTTAGTATGTTCAAGTTGTCAGCTTGTTGGTAGAAATGAATACAGAACTGTATCTCTAAAAAGCAGGAAGTCAACAATTGACCTATTTGCCCTATCAGGTGGTTTTATAAATGTTAACTTCTGGAGATGCTAAGAAGAGACAGGTTGTCAACTTGTTGCCAGCTTAAAACATAACTTTTTTTTTTTTTAATGATGTGCTTCTTCAGAAGACTGCTTCTTCAAAGTGAGGAAGACAAAATAATCAAATATTCACAAACATGGCTTGCTGAGAATTATAACTGTGCCTAAAGCATAGGGTAGTTACATGAGTATTTTGGCTTGCTTCTCCAAAGATGAAAGAGTACATTGTACTGGTTACAAAGACAACTGATCTTAAATAATTTTGATCCATGGAAAAAAGAGCTTTTATAAAACTTTAAAAATTTTACGTGGTGTATACTCAGAGAGGACTTCTGTACTGTTTGTTGATTCAAAAACATACAATCTTACCGTTATTTTTAGCAAGCTGACTACTACTGATGATATTCAAAGGTTAGAATTGAATTGAAATCAGTGAACTGTCTGTAAAGACAGGTAGCTTCTATACACTGGTGCTTTTCTCCAGCTGGAGACTAAGGTTATATATAGTGGATGATTTTGTGTTATTACTGTAGCAGTATCAAAACCAACTAGTTTATCAAGTAGTAACTATCCAAGAAACTGAACCAAGGGAGTTGAGAGTTGTTTGTTTCTCAAGCGTTATAAATCTCTTTAGAGCTGTGTCCTGAGAGTAATGCTGGCAGGGAGAGGAGAGGCAGGCAGGAGGCCACCTTTATTTTGTGATGGGCCGTTGTGGCTGTACCTTAAAATATTTGATAATTCATAATCCCTTGTGACTAAGGTGAAATATGGAGGACATTGCAGAGATATTTATAAAAGCTAGTAAGTCATGAGCTTTCTCTTTTGTTCGACAATGACTTATAGAAAATCACAAGACTTGGAACACTGTCTCTAAAGCCTGCTCTGCTTTTTCGAAAACGTGCTCTGGTAAGTGGATGAGGACTTAATTTACTTGTTTCTGTTAAAGTTGATGGAATGGGGCTCATTAATTCCAACAGAGTATTGGGTTAAGTGCTTTTGCATAACGAATTACCGTTACTTTTAAGACTTGGGTTTGCAAATTTTTTTGAGTCTGATTAGTAATGTTGTCTCATGATGACTTTACCTCAGTCGTTTAAATTTTGCATTTTTAAAATGTTCTTTGCTTGCTAGTATTAAAAAGAGAATTGCAAGTTGCACCTTGGCT